CCATCTTTATGGAAAATATTTTGGTATTTTTAAATGTAGCCCGTTGTTTTATAAAACACCTATGCAATTTAAACAAATAAGATGTTTGTAAGTAAATATAAGTTTTAATGACGAATGACTTACGTCACAAAGCACATAAATATTAAATAAATATACAACCATTTTAGTTGTTTTTGTCTTTTTTATGTTTAAGACTGGAAACAACAGTCATTAAAAAAAAACAGTAGTGGGAAAAATCCAACTTTCGGCACGAAAATTACCACGTTTTGAGCAACTCTATTAAAAAATAATTTTGTATATCTGGAAACAGCAAAACGAGATCTACAACCCCTATAAGCGTTTTTTTTATATCTTAATTAGTTACAGTTTTGTTGTTAAGCAAAATCAGTGTAATGAGCATTTTTTTTATATGACAATAAATCTTTAGATACGAACATATCGAAAGAAACCGAAATAAAAATGCGTTAGTTATGACTAGCAGAGCACAGTAGTAACAGCTATTTGTTATGCAAGGCTGCAATGTTGTTGTTTGATACGAGTACTTGTATCCTGAACCTAAGCAAACGAAAGAAGCCAAGATCGAATCACGAGGGCAGAGAGTCCAGCGTAACGAGGGTTTCAATACACTAGACGTAAATCGACTTCGTTGCCGACCGAAACACACAACTTTTCACCTCACTACAGGGAAGAACGTGGTAGATGAAAGAAAAACAGTTGAACTATAACAAATCAATTTTAATAAATAAAATAAGTTATCGTTGTCAATTTAATGTCATCAATAACAAGAATAAAATATAGGTGCCAACCATTGACTTACAATTATATGGACGTCGGGTCCGCGCTAAAAAGTGTCCGAACTTATAGGGCGTAAAAATCGTATACAGAGCGTCATTCACGCTTTAGTCTTCGTTTGTTCGACTGACAGCGAAGCAAGCAAAATTAGACAGTACTGCGATGACGTTACAATTTAAATTCAACGTTTTAGCTTTTTCATATTCCTTTATATGTCACTACGTTTAAATAGGTTGACTTGGGACATTTTTTTTCGTGGTTTGTGTATTAGACCCGTCGTCCATTTATTTGTAAGTCAATGGTGCCAACGGATTTATATTACATGAGTAATGTACGACAAATCGTGCCATAATTATGCCATGATGTTTTTTTTTTCATTGAAAGATAGAGTTAGGTGCACCGTAGTCCATCGTCAAGGTCAAATTCAAAAGCCTTTTCCACGCTACCGTGGAAAAAACGCTTTTGCGCGCAGATTTCTAATGAGAAAAAAAGCCTTCCCTAGCTAGTGAGGTGAAAAAGTAATTGTTACTTAATTTTGCGTTCGCGTTCCTGTAAATTTCGTAAATTTTAAACGTTGATTTAATCAATGTCTAACTGTTACAATTTCAAAAGAAAAAAAAGATCGAACACTCAAAAAAATTCCTTCAATCTGGCCGGACTCGAACCGACGTCTCCTAGCATACCGTGCTAGACGCCATACCAACTAAGCCACGGAACGAACCAGCGGACCTCACGAATTTTTCTTTCTATGTGCTTGTTGTCGAATCCTTGTACTTGTTGTCCTTGTATCTATTTTTGTTTTATTTCGTTACACACACAAGCGATTACTATGTAGTGCGTGAGTGAATCGATTTCGAACGAAAACGTATAAGTGTTTTGAGTATGGTTGTTTTATATTAAAATGTTATATTATTACTATGTATTTCATATTACTATATGTTTATTTTCTTCAAGTACATGCCTACGTCACGGTCATTATTTTCACATGTACAAGTACAAAAAAAACAATGGATAACGGATATAAATCCGTCTTTTCCGCTGTAACCGTGTCGATAAAGCACGCAATCGATTATACTATCAATAATCTATTAATTTTGACACTATCAGCTCAATCTTTTTGTTAAGCAGTGTATCTTTAGAATCTAAAGCTCCGTGCACACTTGTGTCAAAAGGACATGGGGATAGAATAATGTAAAACAAGCCGATAAATGATTAAAATATTCGATAAAATAAGTAATTAGAGACCACAATTTGATTTTTGACGAAAATTGTTTTTCATTAAATTTTGATAAATTATGACAAATAGGTATATTTTTGACATGTATTGAGTCGTGCGGACATGTGCACGGCAGTGGAGGTTTGAGATTGATAGGGATTGTGATAACACGTCACATTGTAATAATCTGCTTTTTGCATGATAATCATACATTCTTTGAAGATACACACATATATAATAATATATAACACTTACACACTCAATCGCACACATAATCTATTACAAACACGATTCAGTATATTATGTAATTATTATAATTAGATATTGAAATCGACTGAATGTATTTACCTAAATTTCAAGTAATATACAAAGAGTAGATAACACCTCCCTCTGAAATCCTAAAATAATTAAAACTGGTCTCAAACTAGACTTGATTGTGAGCGTTATTATTATAATTTAGAAAAGGTTGTTTCCTGCATTGGTCCTACCGAACATCGAACCCGGGACTTCCTCATCCAGTGTCCACATATTGGAGGTCGTCAAATTAAGGATAAGAGGAGACCCGTGCCCGGCAGCGAGACGTCTAATGACAATTTAGTAAAAATAATTTCCTAAATTGGTCTTACCGGGAATCGAACCCGAGACCTTCTTATCCAGTGTCTAAAGTGCAACCCGCTGAGCTACCGAGGTCATCAAAAGCCGCTGTCACTCACAATAAACATTTATTTATTTTATCTTTTTGAATAATTTATATCCCGACACATTAAATATATATTACAATAATATAATCTCAGTACAACAAAAAAAGAAACATCAAAATCGGTTGACAAATGCCAAGCCTAAGACTTATCACGTAACATGCATAAAAAAAAAAACAAAAAAGTCGAATTGAGAACCTCCTCCTTTTTTCGAAATCGGTTAAAAAATAAACAGGATTATTAAAAAAAAATGGAAATGAAACTGTTCTTTTTTAGAATCTAAAATGGCATACATACTTATATATGTATACAATAAACATGCTAATTTACTTTTGTAATTTTCCCAAAAATTTTCCCAATATATACAACTAACCTTAATTGCCATGGCGTCTGACACGGTTTGCTGGAAGACATATCCAGCCAGATCGAAGAATTCTATTGTTAGTGTTCGATCTTTTTATATTATAACAAACTAGTGGAGTAATTTCGCAAAAATAATTGAATATCGTGGTGGTCAAACATCCTGACATTCAATAAAAACTTAAATATACTGAAGAATACACAAACAAATAGTTCCCTTCTGATAAAAACTAAATAAGTCATACCTTGGTATTTTAAAAGTGCCTTTATCCCATGTAAAACACTAAAAAAAATACGAACTACATAATACAAATTACATATGAAATTTAGCCAACCGTGGTAGCCCAATGTATTTTAGTACCAGTAGAGGAAATGTGGTGCTGGAGAAGAATGCTTGGGGTATCGTGGACAGACTTTCGTTCAAACGCCTTCATACTCCAAGAACTCAGCATCAAGCAGCGTCTGTCTACTGCGGTGCAAACTCGCATCCTAACATTCTTCGGTCACGTCTCAAGACGGAATTTTGACTCCATAGAGCGTCTTGTGAAGGTCACCCATTCGATGGACCGATCAAATAAAATCTGCAGTGGGCAGTCCTTTACATGAGTGTACGAGGGAGTCCACTAACAGAGAGAGATGGCGAGATGTCGTAAGGCAAGCCACATTCGCCGTTAACAAACGTACTCCGTGATGACCACGACCACTCTGTCAAGAGTGATATGAAAGAAAAGAAGAGCATCTTGAGAAACAGTTCGTCCAGGGAAGTAGTGCCACCTGACCTATTTCTGCCGCCAAGTAGTAACGTGAGAGTTACTGTGTTCCGGTTATGAAAGGTAAGGGTGCTGGTGAAATTACAGGCATTCATTATTCGGCAACGGTAGCTAATTTTTTTTATTAAAATTGATTTGTTATAGTTCAACTGTTTTTCTTTGAAATACCCTTTTCCTTGCTTTAGTGAGGTGACAAGTTGTGTGTTTCGCTCGTCACCAATTTCATGCCTTGAAACCCTCTTTACGCTCAGAAGTCTATCTTAGTCTCCATCGCTTGCTCAGGCTTCAATACAAGCACTCGCGTGAACCAATAATTGTGCAACCTTGCTTAATAAATAACTATTCTGTAGTTATGGCAATCTATGACTTAAAGTAGACGTATAAGTAAACTTTACGCTGATAAATATTAAACAACATGGCATACGTCGCGTCGATCCCAAATTAAGTAAAGCACTTGTGTTATGGAAATAGGAATCAACGACGGTACCACAAACACCCAAACCCGAGACAATATAGAAAGATACTTTTCTGCCTGGGGATTGAACCTGAGATCTCAGAGACTGCGACACCATGAAAACCGGTGTGCAAGGCACTCGACCATAGAGGTCGTCTATCTGAACATGAAGCTGTTGTAACCGGCTCAAGTCAATTCAGCGTTAACAAGTGTAGTGGTCTCTTTATTCGCCTCAAGTGCAACTAAATTTCTTTAATCAACAAACAAAACAATAGAAACCTTCGCCGTGTTGCAGAATTAGAAAGAACTAAATTACCAGACATCACGAACATTGCTTTTTCTAGATTCATAATTGTAATATTTTTATTAAAAAAAAAACGACCTCAACAGTTCATGGAACTATATCTATTTGCCAAGTTATATTGAAATCGGTTACCAGAAAGTGCGTGAAACCGGATTCATCCCCTAGTTTTCCACCCTTAGAGGTGGAATATTTTCTTCAAAGAGAATCATCAAAATTGGTCCACAAATTACGTGGATAACATACATACAAAAAAAAAGCAGTCGGATTGAGAACCTCTTCTTTTTCTTTAAGTCACTTAAAAAGCAAGTCAGTTTTTGTACTGTGTTGAGCAGCCAATTGAATAATTAAGTAAAATAGATTTTCTAAATTCTGAAGTATGAAAAACACACGTTACCACACCACTCACCCGTATATAGCGTCTTTGTCGCGCTTGTGGACGAGCGGCTCGCCGGGCAGCGCGTGCGCGGGCGCCGCTGGCGGCGGGTAGTGCACGGGAGGGATGTGCGGGTGCGCGAGCCGGTGCTCGTGGTACATTGCGCCGCCCTCCATATAGCCTCCGCCGTGAAGGCTCTCGTCGTACTGTAATGACATTGTTAATTAGTTTATTGTTGTAACCATAGATAAAGTGTGCATAGTGTAAAAATGTCGCTGCTTTTTTGGAATAGTAACCTAATGCAAAATAGTTGATTTTTATCTTTTTAGCTTATTACATAACTACACTCAGAATATGCTAAGCAGAGCGAGCTTTGTATTGTTTAAAACAGCCACATGACAACATCGGCCTGTATAAGATTAGTCGGCTTTGCATTTCAAATAGCAGTAGAGCTCCTTGAGTTCGTAAAGGGAAATACTGCCTTACCTATTTCTGCCGCCAAGCAGTAATGTCAGCATTACTATGTTCCGGTTTTGAAGGGTAAGGGTGCTGGTGAAATTACAGGCAGATGAGACTTATCAACTTATGACTCAGGGTGACATTGCGACTTAAAGCTCTAAGTGGCACTGCCACTGTTATGGACAGGCATATCGCTTACCACAGGCGCACGATTTGTTAAAAAAATGATGATTTGTAGTTCTTTTTTAACCATCTTACTGATGAATTAGGTGATATTTTTAGATAAGCCACTATTCGGGGACATACATCAATAGAACCATGAAAAAAGGGACTTGAAGACAGAAAGATTAATAGGAAATCAATTTCAAAAAGTTCAATAATGATTACCTACTAAAAAAATTGAGCATACTAAGTGTGTGAGGATTCCGGAAAACTTCTACAAGTGTGGAGAGTAAATCTGGAATTTAGCAAATGGAGTTGCATAATTTCATTCTACACCATTGAAAGACAAACGATGCAATACGTATGTATGCACTACAATACTTAATTATAATTGATAATTGATATCATTAATAACCGCCCTGTGGGTTAAAAAGCCCCAATTCATTATATTTAATAACACATACATAGACAATGCAGCCTTCCCATCTGTCAGATAATGCTTGTTCTTTGAAAGCCTTTTTGCTGGCGTGACTGTACTATTTTTTTTCAACAAGGGCTTTATTAAACTTAAAACGTTTTAATTATTAAGTGGGAAAGATATGGGTAATATTGGTATGTTAAGTTTTTTTTTCGTTTTTCGTATTACGGCACTCTCACTTTGCGAATTGTCATAGACCCTTTGAATGGCCGGCTAGACCTGAATAAATTTTTATTCATTATTGTATATTTAAAAGAAGTTGTTCACGTTTAGTATACCGCGACTTTTCTGACCTTACGACTGCAGACTGTCGTGACAATGGGAAGAGAACGACAGTCGTCTGACAATAAATAAAATGTTAGGATACAAATGTGACGACATTCTGTCGCGCAAACGACAAGCCTGCTGTCGTCAAGATCTAGTGGGAACTGCTAGACACGACAGTCATTCAACGATAAAATAAATATCCACGACACAATGAGAACGCGCCCTTACGTATAACAATATATTTTTATATTACATACGTTATAACTAAGCGAATAACCCATCCAAATGTAAAAGCGCTGCGGGCCAAGGTTGACCATCAAATGCGATGACTCTGCAATTTGGTCGGATCGATATCTCGTCATTATCGGATGTAGAGTACAGATTGTAGTATAGACCGCTTTTAAGTGCAGGTTGTCCCTTTTGAACATTGTTATTACATTTTATTTCATTTTATACGTGTTTTTACACAGGTTTTTTTTATAACATAAAGTGACCTGACGAACAAATCATGCGCCTGGTGATAAGCTACACTCCTGTCTATAACAGTTGCAGTGCCACTCAGAGCTTTAAATCGCAAAGATCTGGGCACTGCCAATGCGCCCGTCACCCTGCGACATAAGTTTACAAGTCGCGTGTGCCTGTAATGTCACCAGCACGCTTACCCTTCAAACCGGAACTAGGTAAGGTGGCAGTACTTTCTGCGCGAACTCTTCTACAAGGAATTCTATTGCTACTCAAGGTACAGTCGACGCCCTAATATACCTAACCTCGTAGCCGATCTCTGGGTTTTAAGAGTCTTGTTACGCATTCATGATTGAAATATATATTCTACATTTAAGTAAGTATACGTTAAAGATCAAATTGGCTTAAAAACTTTCTTAAAACATCATTCACTCATGATGTAATAAGGAAATCATGCCAAAATGATTTTTACGCGTCTCAGGTTAAAGGTTAATTTTGTTTAACATTTAACACTTGTCCATCTACCCAGAGCCAAAGAGTAGAAATAAGTAGTAATGCTATATTGACAGTTTGTAGATTTCCCAAAGATTTCCAGACGGATGCGGCGTGCATCCATCGGTTATCCGTCGCCCTTACCAGGTCATCCGTCCATCTAGTACGGGACCGGCCCACTGAACGTCTTCCAGTTCGTGGTCTCCATTCAAGAACCTTTCTGCCGTCAGTTCTACGAGCTATGTGCTCTGCCCACTGCCACTTCAACTAATCCTTTGAGCTATGTCGGTGACGTTCGTTCTTCTACGGATCTCCTCATTTCTGATTTGATCACGTAGAGAAATATCGAGCATTGCTGGCTCCATAGCTCGTTGAGTACCTTTGAGCTATTTTTATGAGGCCCATAGTAAGTGACCACATCTCAGAACCGTAGGTCATCGCTGGCAACATGCACTGCTCGAAGACTGTTATCTTCAAGGACTGCGGTATTGCGGACGAGAAGACCATGGCCTGCACCCTCATAAAAAGTGACCCGTGTTCAGTAGACGACGATAAGTATATAAAAAGGTAAATAAATGTTACAGATATACATATATTTAAAAAAGCTATAAATAAGCCAGTGGTACAGGCTGTTTACCTCGGTATTAATTAACAATTAACATAAATGTAATATATTTACACATTTAAATCTGTCTATTAAAAAGTGTAAGAGACTCGTGCTCAACAGTGGAACGAATTCCACCGATTTAAAATACAAATGTCTGTGCAAAAAAGTTAATAAAAAACTTTTGACAAACAAGACGTTTTCGTAAAGGAGCCCAGTGTTCAGTAGTTAAAGTTTACTTAGTGATATAATTGATTAAAACTGGTTTTGTATGTATGACCATACACAATGTATGAGTGATGTAAAGTACTTATATTGTATGTTTCGTGACGGTACATAAAGTTTTAAGTATGGGAGATCGAATTTCCATTTAGTGCCGCCGCTATAGCATTGCATAAACAACATACCTAAGCGCGTATAGTTTGCAAAAAAAACTACAATCAAAACCTAGTTTGTGTTCACCTGTCTATCTTTATGACAGTAACTTACTATTACTTACTTAAAACATTTTTTTAATTTATAAATATATATTATTAATGTTAATATATAAAAATAACGCGCGTACTCTCATTGCCCCGCATAGGGAAACCCTGTTATCACAGGTGCCATGGACACACACATAGGCAACCACAAATTACACCCGAACTCAAGAGAGAAACAAAAGTAGGCCAAATAAATATTTCTCTAGGCCTGGTAATCGAAGCCGGGGCAGTTCAGCATGGCAACCGCCACGGAGGCAGTTAATGTTATGTAACATCACGACAAATAACTTATCAACAATTTTAATTTAAAATCCACTAAGCACACTACTAATTTTGCTTTGTTCTGTTTATTTATAAAGCTTCAATGATTTATATCATTGTGGATAACTATTTTGACCTAAATTATTTAAGACAAATAATGTTCTTTGTAAGATTTTTTTTAATAAATAACAGACATACGCTTGGCCACAATCTCACCTGATGTTAAGCGACGATGTGACCGACGGTTGGACGCGTTTGCCTAAAAATGCCTACTCACTCTACCCTTCAATAGCCCCAAATTGTACTTTTCGGGAAAACTTAGATGCCAATAGAGTATTCCATACCTTTGCCATGCGCATCAGAAAGGAGGTAGCAAAGCGCTTAGTGAGAATGGGTGGTATATCAAGGACATAAGGATGAAGGGTTCCGGACCTTCTAGACGACGGGAGGAGGAACGGTGAGGGTGGAACTATACTAAAAAGTTCCAGCGCACACTCCCCGAAATGTATCCGATAGAAAACCGACAAGCAGGCTACTTTACTGCGATAGTCGAGATTTGTAAGATGTATTTGATTGTTTAAAAAGAAATAAAAAAAACACAGAACCTTTTCATTAATAAAATCGATCTCAAAAGTTTGCGTGTCCGCTTTTACTGTGTTCGTTAAACTGGGTAACTAAAATCGCATATGGAAGTCCTCATCAACGAATCATATGACCCCAGATAGCTGGAAATACACTGTTGAGAAGTTCCTCTCGTCTGTCAGCCATTTCTGTCAGACCAGCTCTAGGTCACCATAACATTTTATTTAGTTGGAATGTCATCTACGTGGCAAGTTTTATACGAGCGTGTTAACGGAAAGTGGGTGAAAATCGATAAATCATATTCTTCCCGTGATTTGTTACCCTTAGAGATGGAATATTTTCTTTAAATTTAAATGGGACCACTATAGTATATAAATAGGTATCCTCTTTCCAATAAAAAAAAAATTGAAATCTGTACACAAATTTATGAGTAATAACAAAAAAAGAATTGAGAACCTCTTTTTTTTAAATATATTCCGAAGGTAAGCTATTTGTTTACTTGCATCTTCTTTCGGGTGATATTTTATGGAAATGGGTTCTTGGTAAGTAAGGCACGTTATAAGTAAACCAAAGGGTTTTGCCAGCTTCATTACGTGCCCACATCACTGAATTGCTGTGAACGGATAAACCTACTCAGGTATTTGTTGCTCCGCCATGTTTAAATTAATAAGTATTCTTTTTGTTAAAAAAAAACATTGACGTAAACCGCAACTAACACATATTAAGTCTATAATACCTCTCAATATAAATAAATAAAAAAGAAAAATTTGGTTTTGTAGTCAAGTAATTGCTAATTATGTGTTAAAAATATAGACCAAAGTAAAATCGTATTCCTGGATTTCTGGAAATTTAAATAAATACTACTTCCATATTTCGATCTCTGAAAATAAATATCGTTCAATAGTTTATTAAAAGTTATGTGGAGTAGTGGAAGATGCATATCATTTGTTACTGGAA